AAAGAAAGAAAGAAAGAAAGAAAGAAAGAAAGAAAGAAAGAAAGAAAGAAAGAAAGAAAGAAAGAAAGAAAGAAAGAAAGAAAGAAAGAAAGAAAGAAAGAAAGAAAGAAAGAAAGAAAGAAAGAAAGAAAGAAAGAAAGAAAGAAAGAAAGAAAGAAAGAAAGAAAGAAAGAAAGAAATAAGAGACATCACAAGAGACACCAAGAAGATCCAGAACATTATAAGGGAATACCTTAAAAATCTATACATTACTATATTTGAAAACCTAAAAGAAATGGATGGATATCTAAAATCATGGGAACCACCAAAGCTAAACCAAGAAGAGATTAACAGTTTAAACAGACCTATAACATATAAGGAAATTGAAACAGTAACACAAAGTCACCAGACTAAAAAAAAGCACAGGTCCAGATGGATTTACAGCAGAATTCTACCAGACATTTAAAGAAGATCCACAACAAATACTACTTAAACTATTCAAAAAGAGAAACAGAGGGAGAACTCCCAAATTACTTCTATGAAACCAGCATCACTATAATACCAAAACCAGGTAAAGGCACAACCAAAATAGAAAACTATAGACCCATATCCTTAATGAATATAGATGCAAAAGTTCTCAACAAAATACTTGCAAACCACATACAGATGTACATCAAAAACATCACTCACCATGACCAAGTGGGCTTTATTCCAGGGATGAAGGGATGGTTCAATAGATGCAGAAAAGGCTTCTGACAAAATTCAGTATGCATTCATGATAAAAGTACTAAAGAGAATCGGACTGGAGGGAACATACCTCAAAGGAACAAGGATCAAAGGAACAGTAACCAAGAAGATACATAATTAAAGCTATATACAGCAAACCCACAGCCAACATCATTCTAAATGGAGAAAAAGTGGAAGCACTCCCATTAAATCAAGAATCAGACAAGTATATCCACTATCTCCACCCCTTTTCAATATAGTGCTTGAAACTCTTGCTATAGCAATAAGACAAGAGAAGGAAACTAAAGGAGTACTAATTGGAAAAAAAGAGGTAAAATTATCCCTTTTTGAAGATGATATAATACTATACCTAAGAGATCCAAAAAGTTCCACCATAAAACTGATTAACACTTTCAGGAAAGTGGCAGGTTACAAAATTAATCTACAAAAACCAGTAGCCATTCTTTAATCCAATAATAAGCAAATGGAGAAAGAATACGGGGAAATGCTCCCATTCAAAATAGCTGCAACATATATCTTGGAATAAACCTGACAAAAGACATCAAAGATCTCTACAATGGAAATTTTAAATCTTTAAAGAAAGAGATCGAGGAAGACAGCAGAAGATGGAAGGACCTCCCATGCTCATGGGTTGGAAGAATTAATACTGTGAAAATGACCATCCTACCAAAAGTAATATATACATTTAATGCAACCTTAATCAAAATCCCTATGACATACTTCATAAATTAGAAAAAAACATCCTTGGGGGCTAGAGAGATGGTTCAGTGTTTAAGAACACTGGCTGTTCTTGCAGAAGACCCGGGTTTGAATCCCAGCACTCACATGGCAGCTAACAACTCTCTGTAACTCCAGTCCCAGAGGATCTGACAGCCTCTTCTGACTTCCGTGGGATTTCACGATATGGGTGCACTTAACCTACATGGAGGCAATACACGCACACGCACAAAATAAAAATAATAAAATTTTTAAAAAAGAAAAACCCATGCTTAAATTCATATGGAAGCACAAAAGACCCTGGAAAGCCAAAGCAACCCTGAGCACAAAGAGCTGGGGGGGGATTACTGGGGGGATTACTAGGGGGGATTACTATACCAGATCTCAAAGTATACTACAGAGCTATAGTCATGAAAACAGCATCGCACTAAAATAGACACACGGATCAATCGAAAATCACTGAAGACTCAAACCAGAGTACACGCAATTTCAGCCACCTTATATTTGACAAAGGTGCCAAGAACACACAATGGAGGAAAGACAGCATCTTCAACAAATGGTGCTGGTAAGACTGGATCTTCACCTATAGAAGAATGAAACTAGACCCTTATCTTTCACCTTGCACAAAAGTAAATTCTGAATGGATCAAAGACCTCAATGTGAAACTGGAAACCTTGAAACTATTAGAAGAAAATATCGGTAGTAACCTACAAGATATAGGTGTAGGAAAGGATTTCTAAATAGGACAGCAGTTGCTCAGGAATTAAGGCCAACAATCAACAAATGGGATGTAATTAAAATAAAAAGCTTCTGTACAGCAAAAGAAACAATCAAGAAAATGAAGAGAAAACCCAGAGTGGGAAAAAAATCTTCACCAGTGACACATCTGACAGAGGATTAATATCCAGAATATATAAAGAACTCCAAAAAGAAAGAAGAATGCAAATGACCCAATTAAAAGATGGGCTAAAGATCTAAATAGACAGTTGTCAAAAGAAGAAATAAAGATGGCTAAGAAACATCTCAAAAAGCGTTCAAAATCAAAAAGTGTTAGTAATTAGGGAAATGCAAATTAAAGCCACCTTAAGGTTTCACCTTACCCCAGTCAGAATGGCTAGGATCAAGAGAACAAATGATACCAAGGATGTAGAGAAAAGGAAACACTCACTCACTGCTGGTGGGACTGGAAATTCATGCAACCCCTATGGAAAACAGTGTGGAGAACTCATAAAAAACTAAAAATGACGGGGCTGGAGAGATGGCTCAGCGCTTAAGAGCTCTGACTGCTCTTGCAGAGAACCCAGTTTCGATTCCCAGCACCCACTTGGTGGCTACAAACTGTCCTTAACTCCAGTTCCAGGGAAATCCAAAACCTTCTTCTGACCTCCACAGCACTGCACAACATGGGTGCACTCACATACATGCAGGCAATACACTCATACACATAAAATAAAAATAATGAAAAAAAAAACTAAAAATGAATTTACCACATGACCGAGTTATACCACTCCTTAGCATATACCCGAAGGACTCATACTATTGTAGATACACTTGTACAACCATGTTTGTTGCTGCTCTTTTTACAATAGCTAAGAGACGGAAGCAACGTAAATGCCCCTCAACTGATGAGGGGTTAACAAAAATATGGTACATTTACACAATGGAGTTCTATTCAGCAGTAAAAGAAGATGAAATAATGAAATTTAGAGGTAAATAGATGGATCTAGAAACTGTTATGCTGAAGACACTGCATGATGTGAGCATGGGAGAGGAAGAAATCAACCTTGGACTAAGCTGGAAACTCCTTGCCACTGTATAGGTGGCTTTCATGGTGCCAAAAGGAAATACGCAGATCACTGGGGGAGAATCATCCCCTATAATTCTCCTCAACAACAGATCCTGAGTGTTGCACTATGAACATACCAAACAAGAGGTTCCTGCTGGTGCAATAGTAGAGCATTATTCTATGTACAACCAACAAATTTTCAATTGGATGTAATACCCACTCCTAGGGGTGGAACACACATCTGGTACCTGGCCAACCCCCTGTGTCAGGGGAGAATATAGGCCCCAGTGGGAAGTCACTGCAATTGCTTTGTTAGACGGAAATGATGCACCTGCTAAAATACTAACCAAGGAGTGGTGTTTACACCCATAGGTTAAGTTATTATAGCAGCTACTGTTTAGATGTTCTTGTTTCTTTCTGTATGTGTTTTCATAGTAGATGGAATCCCACTCAAACTGGCCAACAACCCATGGAAAAACAGATGACGCAGAGACCCAAAGTTCAGTGCCTTGCCACAGCAGAAGGGAGATCATCCCCCACCTACCACTCCCTCCAAGACTCAGGGATTTTCGTGGAAGAGGCTGGAGGAAAGAATGTAAGAGCCAGAGGAAGCGGTGGAGAGTTAACTGGAAATGTCCACTATGCCAGCAAGCTATAGTCACACCTCCTTCCCATGCTCATCAAGGAGTCCAGGAGGGTGTCAGTTACTCCTCCCACCCAATCAGGCGACATTAGCTGCATGTAGGTCAAAGGATATATAAAGTGAGAACACGAAGAGGGACCTCTCTCACCATTTTGTGTGGCTATCAGGAGGTCACAGGATCTGTATTTGTGTGGATTTTACGGCATAGCCGTACATGTGGGGCACCACTCTTCTGTAAATAAACCCCTACCCTATGCTCTGTTAAAAAAAATTAAAATTAAAAAAAAACCTATTTCAGTCTAACCATGGAATGTTCTATCACAAAACCAGATGTATTTCTAAAAAAAAATAATTCTTTGATGGCACCTTTTCCCAATATACAGTTCCTAATTTCTTGTCAATTCTTCACAACATCTTCAAAAATATCATTTTCTTACTTTTCCTAGTACAAGTTAAATTATTTTTATTGGGAAATCCCAAAAGAAAATTTGAAAGCCTAAGGAATACTAATATAATGTAAATGCAGGCACTGCAGTATTTAAATAGCTTTAAGGTTTATAGGACTCTGAATTTTATTTTATTTATTTTTTAAAGGGAAAAGTAGAAATCAGTATTAATAGCAGCAAAATGAGAAAAATTTACATCTGCAGGCTATTTAACTTCTCAATCTTTAAAGCCCACTATTACAAATATGTACAGTGGCTACTCTGAATCTTTACTGGCAAATGTTTCTGAGGGGGGCCACAGTGCTGGGGTTGGAACTCAGCTTCTTGTGCACCGAGGCAAGAACTCTACCACTGAGCTATGACCACAGTCTTTTGAACATCCTTTATTGGATTAAGCTTCTCTGGAGAGATGATTTCCAAAGAGCTCTGGTAGTCAGGACCAGGCATTTCTGAGCAATACAATTAAATGTAGCACATTCATCAGATTATCCAAAGGACTTCAGACTTGCTCTCTATCTTCACAATCTCCCCGTTCCTGGTTCCACCTATGTTATCCCTCACTTCAATTGCCCTCTTCCCCAACCCCCAATCTCTTATCATTCAGATATAACTACAACAAACCTGACAAATATCAAAAAAAAAAGAAGATGCAAGACAGTAACACACTTAGCTTTCCAGTTACCTGTTGTGCAAGACTGCGGAATGACCAAATCTGTTGACATCATGGTGAAGATCAGGTCTGGGAAGCACTGACCATCGGTCGCAAGCTATGATCAAGAAAAAAACATTTCAAAGTAGACTTGTCATTCACCATAAACAGGAACTGACATGGTCTTTAGGAGGAAGAATGCAATGAACACAGCCTTATAAAACATGCTTTTCAACTTTCTTGGTGGCACTATTATGTTTAGGGTAAAAGGCAGCAGCAGCAAAGAACCAGGACATGAAATGCGGGCAAACTGAATAGTAATGCTCATCAGTGAATGCGTCCAATACCCATGACACCCCCTAATGCCTGTTATTTTCATACTGCTTAACCGTTTTACCTAACAGAAAGTCTGGTTCACCCTTTAATTTTTCTTTTTCTTGTAGTGCTAGGGATCAAACCTAGAACTCAAAACCAGCCTCAATTACAACTACATAATAAAACTGAAGCTTCCAATAGAGTGAGACTTTGTCTCAAAAATAAATAAATAAAAGGCAATTTTCAAAGATTCATTTTTCTTTTTCTTTTCTTTCTTTTTTTTTTTTTTTTTTTTTGGTCTTTTTGAAACAGGGTCTCCCTGTAGCCCTAGCTGTCCTGGAACTCACTATGTAGACCAGGCTGGCCTCGAACACACAGAGATCCGCCTGCCTCTGCCGGTATTAAAGGTGTGCGCCACCAAGCCCGGCAGATTTATTTATTTTTCATTAGTTATTTCATTAAGCTTTTGGAATCCTTTGTCAAATCATGAATAACCACTAAACCTGTACTATTTAGTACCACTTTAGTGTTAAATTTTAATTTTAAAATTTTGTCTTATTTTCTTAGAAGATGAGGGAGGTCTGTTTGTTGTTTTCTAAGATGTGGGTCTGCAGAACGCACCACTGCCCACCTGTGCTCATCTTTCTTAACTTCCTTATTGCATACTGAAGTTTTAAAAAGGAAGATGCTTTGATCCTGATAAATGCTTTAGTAAACTCTTCCTTTGTGGGTGGAACTCAGCACGTGAATGACTTTGTAGAGGCATTATCACCCAGGCAGTCAGATTCATACTGCACCTCTTCATACAGCTCAGGAGCTATACCAGCATAGCTCCTATCACAATGAACTGTTCATCAACTTTGGGCTGCAAGTCTTCCTGTAGAGCTATGGTAGGTCCTTCTGAATCCCTCCACAGATGGTTTCAGATTCCTCCTTCTCTTTCACTTTAGAAGCCACAGGAGTACTCTAATATGTGACAGAGTGTCAGAGAGGCTTACAGCTTATCACCTTGATAAAGTCTGCCCTTGTGAAGATTCAGAGGGCCCTGCTCGTTGATTTCGTAAAAACAGCCTATATCATATACCTCATCATCTTCAGCATCCCCTTCCACTTTACCATCTTCTAAATCCTCAGGATGCAAGGTGTCCAACCTAGCACTTCTGTTCAACATACAGATCACCTTCTCATGCAGAGAGATGGCAAAGGCTTCTGATTCCTTGTATACTTTAGGCTACAAAGCAGAACTAGAAAGCACATGCCCTGTTGGGTGCTGCTTCTTGGTTACCCTGGAATCAAACTGGGGTGCTTTATCAACTTTACTGCCCTGGGCCAGTTGGGTGGGTAAGAAGCAATGGCTCCCTGGGAAAGCTGGCTCACTGAGGTTCTTCTGAGCTACCAATGGCAGCCTTGGTTCTTCACCTGCTGTACTAGATGGCAGCTGCCTTAGCAGCAGGAACTGGCACACATCTATAAACTTGTACATTTCTGGCCTCACATTATTCTGAATTTTAACCAACTGAATTTCAGGTATCATTTTCTCTGTAGGTGGTAGAAAATGGGGAACAGCCCCATATCTATTCCTTTCTTTACCCAAGTTGATCATCACACTAGCACTTGACTTCATGGTGTCTTTGGCGCCTATAACTTCATTATACTGCTCTCTCAGAAGTCTAGCTCTAGGTTCATCTATGTCATGGCTACCCTTTAAAAGGTTAAACAGTACATATCTACCTTCATATTCTAGAGCACGGAATACACTTCCCCTATCTCTGAGGTGCCAAAGCCAACAGGTGTGTCATTAAACAGACTGTAATTAGGAGATCTCATTCCTTGGATCTGCATTACCTGAGCCAAAATGAAGTCTCCCCACCCCTGCCCTGCCCCATCAACTCTCCTGGGAATGTTTTCAAGTTTCATAGCAGGAGCAAGGACAGCTGTACTACCATATGAGGTCTAGTAGACAGTTTATGAGGGGAAGTCTTGCTCTGTGCATGTATTTTCAACCTGTCCAAGAGTTTGAGTTGCTTTCATTTCCTATTTATAAAGCCATCACTAGGATGGAATTGTGCAGGTGGATGGGATATTAGACATGCAAGCCAGAGGCCATGTGTGACAGGCAAGGGAGACTGCTACACTACAAACAAGGAATGCATATTTTCTGCCCAAGAACATGGAAAAGGTGAACTTCCATTGGTGAAAACTACTTCTGGAAAGCCAGGATTATAGAGTCCATTCTGGAACTGGGGGCCTGGTGGTGCCTGCCCTGTGTAGGTTGGTCTGACACTGCTGGGGAAATATCTGTCCATCTCTAAAGATGAATTTATTTTCCAGTCAAGCTGGGAACAGGAATGAGGAGACCATGAATGCCTTTTCTATTTACTTATTTTTAAGGGTATGAGTATTTTGTCTGCATGTACGTAAGTGCACCACATGAAATGTCCTCAAAGGCCAGAAGAGGGCATTGGTTCCCTGGAACTGGAGTTAGCCACCATGTGAGTGCTGCCAACCAAACTCTGGTCTTCTGCAAGAGCAGCCAGTGCTTGTAACTGCTAAGCCAGCTATCTAGTCCCTAAAAGGCAATTTTATATCTTACAAAGTTTGTTAGCAAAACATGTGGGTTCCACAGTTTTTTTCTATTCTCTATACCGAGTTACTTAAACTTAGTGACAATGGAAAATTTTTTTTAAAAATTAATTAAACTTCAATTTTTAAGTCCTTTCCTAGCTCTCCTGGATCTACTCATTTTTCCTTTGTCATGGCTCATGCTACTATTCTCTTCTGGACCTCACATGAGCAGGTGCTGCAATATCCTCCCATGCTTACTGTCTCTCTCTTATACACCAAATGCAAGTTCTTCCACTCCATCCAGACCTTTACACAACTTCAACAACAGTAGCCTTCACACCTTGTAATAGCCTTACTATCTTCTTCATAGGGAGAACAGGAGACCACCCTGCCTCCCTTCCATAAAACCATAGTATAGCAGGATCCCCACCTCTTATTGAACCCCCAAAGAACCATTCCCTAATTCATCAGTTTTGGGGGGAGAGGGAGTTGACATTTTTGAGACTGGGTCTCCCTGTAGCCCCAGCTGGCCTGGAACTCACTATGGAGACCAGGCTGGCCTTAAGCTCACAGAGATCCACCTGCCTCTGCCTCCTGAGTGCTGGGATTAAAGGCGTGGGCCACCACTCCTGGGGTCTAATTCATCAGTTCATACCCTCTATCCTTCAGCTTTTATGTCAGCCTAAAGCTACTCTTTCCATCTTCCCTATACACTGTCCTGTTTTGGCTTTTTGTTGTTTGTTTTAGTTTTTGTTTTTTGAGACAGTCTCACACCTAGCTTAGGCTGTACTGGAGCTCACTATACGACCCCAGGCTGACCAAAAACTCTCAACAATTCTCCTGTCTAAGCCTCTCTGATCCCGGGATTACAGGTATAAGATGCCATGGTGATTCCCTTCTCTTTCTTTAACTTCTAGATCCATCTCCCCTGAGTCACTAAAATTAGCCATTTTCCCTTTACAGATAAACTTTAATAAATGGTGTATACATCTCACCCTATGTCATTTCTCGGCTTCCTGTAACCTGAAATCCTATTCTATTATTAGAGCACATTAAGAGATTTCTTTGCTGCTAAATCTGAAGGATTCGCTAGTTCTTATTTTTAAGTACTTTTCTAGTCATTAACTCGCTCTTCCAGGCCACCAAGCTCACCTGGTTTTCTCTTGCTTCTCTGACATATTTTCAGTTTCCATTCTTGTTCTGACCTCTCTGCATCTGTTCTGATTCTTGTTTGCTGATTCTTGTTTGTTCTTTATATTCACTACAGCAGTTTATTTCTCCTACTACGTCCTACGAGTCCTTAGTTCTGACCCAAACACATCTCCAGGTGGACATTTCCCACATTTTCTTCAGCCTCTTCCTCCAAGAGCCTGTTTCTCATTATTTTTTTAAAGACATGGTCTCACTACTACGTAGTCTAGACAAACCTTGATCTTGTCATCCTCCAGCCTCTACCTCCTAGGTGCTGGGATTGCAGCCGCATACAGTCATATCTGTTTATATTTCTCTTCTACTTCCAGCTTTGGAAGTGGCAACCATTTACTGTGGCCCACACCAGGTACCTGTCAGTTCCCCGAAGTCATCAATGCCACTTCTACTGCTTTAGTTTAAACCTCACTAGGACTGCTGTGACAGCCATCTCAATGTGCCCTTTCCAAATCACTTAACACAATGCCACCAAAGAGCTTTTCCTAAGTCAGGCATAGTCACTTATGCCTGTAATCCTAGCACAGAGAGGGCAGAAACTAGTTTAACAGCCACTTATGCCTCTAACTTTGTGGGATCAACTTTTATTAATGGACATAATAATCTAAAGTAATGACTTTTAATTAACCCCAGAAAAATCATGCGCTTTTGTGTCTTGTGACCTTGGCACCGCCTTTCATCTCCTTTCCTAGGCAACCTCAATTTGGAGAAAATGGATGTAGTTTAATGGAGAAGTAATGTTTTTTCAATAAATGTGTAACCATACTCATATAAATACAAATACTACCATTTGAACTTCTTTCAAGTAGTACAATTATTTTAACATAAAATAAAGTATTTTATATTTTAAATGCTGCTTATAGGCAAAGAAAATATCTCCGAAGCTAAAATGTCTTTGGGAAACTTACCAATGTCATAAGCCATGAAATCTGAAGAGAAGCATTTAGCACCATGGCTCATTGACGTGTCATTGTGTGTATTTCCTCCAAACACCAACATGGTTCCACTCACTATCACAGCTGTATGCAAGTAACGGAAAAATCGGCTGTCCTTAAGAATGGTCCTTTTGAGTTTTTTTAAAAATAATAAATACAAGGTTAGTTTTCAAAGAATACTTATCTGCCATAGTCATTTTATAACTTCAGACTCAAATGTGAAAATATTTTATTTTTCCCTATCCATTAGTCACTTCCATTAAAAAATCTTAAAAATCTATAAGAATTTTGGCAAAATATATAAAGAACGTTAAAAATGTTCATACCCTATGGCCCTATTTCCCAATTTCTGAGCAAAAAATATGTGAAATAGAGACAAAAACTTACACTCAATGCCAAATTAGTAAGGCAAAAGCTAGAAACTCAAAGGTAAAAGAAATCACTGCTTTATAATTATTTCACAACTCAAATTGTTTTATATTTGCTTAAAAAAATAGAATACACTTCTATAGGCTGAGCTATTGTTGAGAGTGAGGAAAGCTATCACTTAGGTATGAGAACCTGCTTGACAGCTTAACAGAATGAAACTGGTAAATACCCCCACAATGACATTTTAGTCACCAAGACAAAAGTTAGACAAGCAGTATATATTGACTAAAGGTCTAGCCTGTGGTATACAAAGCTGTGGGTCCCCAACACCAAAAAGGAAAAAAAGAAAGGTTATATTTCAAATAATATGTAAGATCAGTATGTATTTTATCTCCTCAGAGGAGATAAAATTTTACAGTAGAGTTCAGTGGATGAATTTTTAGCATTTTCTAAGTATCCCAACTACAGAAAAGCTAACAGAAAGCAATAATATTAACACTAGGTTAGCTTTATCACCCTGTGTTTATTTCCTAACTTCTCCATATACAATGCTAAACAGAAAACAAAATCATAGTACACTATTTTTCCACTAACTCCTCCACAGAATGTACAAGCTGAAGCGAAAGTTCCAGAAAAAGCACCTACCACATCTGGACATCCACATCATATCTGTAGAGGTCATCTGCAAGCCGGTATTTATTGGCACTGAAGGCTTTGTAGCCACCATGAACATACAGGGCCTTGGTCTTGTGATCATAAACGCTGCTGTGGCCATAGCCCCCTTGCACAAGAGCACCCTGAGTGTGTAATATACTCCACGTGTTCTTATCTGGAAATGAAAAAAAAACAAAATAAAGTCAAATGTTGCAAGCCCCCCTCCTCTAATATTTAAAATCTAAATAGTTTTGAGAAAAGAAGGGAGTTCAAAATATAAGAAGGTCATCTAATTAGGCCTGGGTAATATGTGGCTGCAATCCCAGCTACTAGGAGGATCACATGCTCAAGGACTAACAGGGCAACTTAGCAAGAGTCTGTTTCAAAAGGAAAACACAGTTTTCGGGACATACCTTCGCAGAGTGTTGGCCTAGTTTGTGCAAGTACTTGGGTTCAGTACTAATTAAAAAAATCAGATGACCATCTAAAACCTACAACAAAGTCATGTGGCCCCAAACCAATCTGTAAAATAGTCTAATGTTCTAACATGTTGTATAGGAAAAGAATTTCATGACACAAGATTCAGGTTCTGGGAATGGGAGAAAATGAGGGAGGTGGGGAAAGGTTAATCAAAATGAAGTATGCACTGTACTAGATAGCTTCAGTTGTCAACTTGACACACCTGAGTAGAGGGAACCTAACTGAGGATTACCTCCATTGGATTGGCCTGTGGCCGTGTCTGTGGAGACTCTTCTTGATGTTGAGTGATGTGCTCAGCCCATTGTGGGTGGTATCACCCTGAGTTGAATAAGAAAGCAGACTGGGCAGATTGGTACAGGCCAGAGGAGCAAGTCAGTAAGCAGCATACCTCCATGGTCTGTGCTCCAGATTCCTGCCCTGAGTTCCTGCCTTGGTTTCCCTTGATGATGGACTGTAAGCGGTAAGTCAAACCCTTTCCTCCATAAGTGTTGATCAGTGTTTTTAATCACAGCAATAGAGTAGCAAACTAAGACACTAAAGTAAAACAAATAATTACAGGGGATAGTAGGACACATGTGATATGAAGGCGGGGGCTAATACTGGGAGCTCAAAGTTTAAGCAGGGGTAGTGGGTAGGGGTGGGGGAAAAAGAAGGATAAGGGTGGGTTAACAAAAGCTAAGGATACATAAAGAAGCCTTATGAAACCCACTAGTGTAAACTATTGTCTTTTTGAGACAGTGTCTCCCTGCAGCCCCAGCTGGCCTGAAACTCATGATGTAGACCAGGCTAGCCTTGCGCTCAGAGATCCACCTGCTTCTTCCTCCCAAGTGCTGGGATTAAAGGCATGTGCCATCATGCCTGGCATTTGTAAACTAAATATTAAAATTTTATATTAAAAAGAAAAAGGAATTTGAACAGAGGTACACCATATGGGTGAACAGCACTACTACCAGAAGAAATGGGTTATTAAATGAAAATCCCAGTGCCAGGCATGGATTATCTCTCTATAAGCTATTGGTCGAGGAGGCCCCAGAAGCACCCAAAGTAATTCAGCCTATAGCCATTGTTCTTGGTTGCCCACTATAACTAGACGGTAAGATCTTATTGCTGAAGACACCACACAATTTGGTTGCAGGATACAGAGAAATCAATCTTGAACTGTCCAGGAAACTCCCTCCCTCTTGGCTAGCTGTAACAGTGCTAGAAGGTGCTATGCGGACTGCTGAGGGAGAAAAGAAATCCATGGTCTTAACCAATGCTGGACTTTACATGACCCAGTACTGACCTGCCAGGCAAGATATACCCACTGGTACAATATCTGGGTAACCAACTGCTCTCTTGATTGGATTTAAGGACTGCTCCAGAGGAGGGAATTTATGCCTTAGTCATAAACACATGTCTAGGGAAGTCATAGGCCCTTGTAGTGAAGCTATTACTGTTTTGTTATATGGTCAAGTTGTCAAACTACCTTCTATATATTTATGTTTATATACATAGGTTTGTGCTGCTCCCACCTTGGTCACAGAAGCGTCTTACTGCAGTGGGTAGTGATTAATACAATGGCTCACAACCGTTCTAAGTGCAGAGAATAACTGACAGTGAGTGCACAGCCATAGGGGAGACATATGTGTCTCCCAGACTCAAGGCTTAGTAGGGTATATTACTGAAAAGAGAGGCAGAAAGAGTCTAAGCGTTGGAGGATGAGGAGGACAGTTGTGAAATGCTGTCTTCTGGACATGACACGGCTGTTTCACACATGAGTTCACAGCAGCTGTGGTTACCTGCATAAGATCAAGCCAGTCAAAAATTCCAGTATAAAGGAGAAAGGCCCCACCCAGAGCTGAGGAGCTATTGGAAGTTGATGGCTGCTGGGACAGGGAGAGTCACTTTTGTTTGGGAGGTGGCCACTGGTAGGTTGCCCATGCCCCAGTGGATGACCTCACACCTGTAGGAAACCAGGATGGCATGCCCTAGGGCAAGATGAGCCTAAAACTTTTAAAGTCCAGGCTATATTCTCTGCTGAAGGACAGGGCACTGAAAACAGCGACCCTCAAATCCCTATTTGCAGAACACTGCAGGGCTAGCAGGAGAAAAGTGGCCAGGTCAAAAGTTTAAGCTCCTTGCTCTGAGGGAAAGCATCTTGGTCAACAGCACTTAGCCAACCTCCTTGTCCTGAACCAATAACTCTCAGCTATCATTAGCTAAAAGATTAGGCCAGGTTAAAGGTTTACTCCTGGGCTAAAAGCTAAAAGTTTACTATGCTTTTAGCCCTACAAAAGAAAACATTGTGGCCAATAAATTACCAGATGGGCACTGGTAACCTTGTGTAAAAGTTCAAGCATCCTGGGGCTGGAGAAATGGCTCAGCGGTTAAGAACACTAGTTGTTCTTGCAGAATATCCAGGTTTGAATCCCGGCACCCACATGGCAGCTAACAACTGTCCATAACTCCAGTCCCAGGGGCTCCGACAGCCTCTTCTGTCCTCTGCGGGCATTGCACGACATGGGTGCACTTACCTACACACAGGCAACACACACAAATACATAATATAAAAATATACATTAAAAAAATTAAAAAATTAAAAGAAAAAGTTGAAGCATCCTGCTTTACAAACAGCCCCTAGCTGGCACCAACTAAAAGCAGTATATCCTGTTTCTTTGTACCCTAAATCTTTGTATGTAACTGCCAAACACCACGTGACTGCCAGTTCCTTGTAATGTATAAAAACCTTCTGAATTTTTTAATAAACAGCTTGCTGTAAAGAAACACTAGCCCCAGAGTCAGAACTCTGCACTGATCAGTATCATTGACACAGGGCAAGGCTTCCCCAGTAAGCAAAGTAGACTTGGGTCTTTACATACACCTACATGCATAGGACAGCACTAACTGGACTCAATGTGTTTCTCTCTCTCTCTCTCTCTCTCTCTCTCTCTCTCTGTAAAGAAACACTAGCCCCAGAGTTAGAACTCTGCACTGATCAGTATCACTGACACAGGGCAAGGCTTCCCCACTAAGCAAAGCAGACTTGGGTCTTTACATACACCTACGTGCATATGGACAGCACTAACTGGACTCAATGTGTTTCTCTGTCTCTGTCTGTCTGTCTGTCTCTCTCTCTCTCTCTCTCTCACTCTCTCTCTCTCTCTCACACACACACACACACACACACACACCCCACACTCAAGGACATGATTCTGAGAAGGAGATGTGTTAGGCAGGGGCCTGAGGGGAGGTGGAGTGAGGAATGGAGTGTGGCTATGAACTAATGAACTAGATAAAATGCATACAAGTGGGGCTAGAGGGCTGGCTCAGTGGTTAAGAGCACTGACTGCTCGTGCAGAGGACCCAGGTTCGATTCCCAGCACCCACACAGTAGCTAACAACTGTCCATAACTCCAGTTCCAGATGTGTTAGGCAGGGGCCTGAGGGGAGGTGGAGTGAGGAATGGAGTGTGGCTATGAACTAATGAACTAGATAAAATGCATACAAGTGGGGCTAGAGGGCTGGCTCAGTGGTTAAGAGCACTGACTGCTCGTGCAGAGGACCCAGGTTCGATTCCCAGCACCCACACAGTAGCTAACAACTGTCCATAACTCCAGTTCCAGGGATCCAACGCCCTCTTCTGGCCTCCACAGGCACTGCACGACACAGGTACACCTACCTACATGCAGGCAATACACATGTACACATAAAATAAAAATAATAAAATGAAAAAATGTATACAAGTATGAAAATTTCAAAGACTAAAATCTTAAAAATTCTGATTCCCCAGGGAACAGACATTTAGTATCTTTTAATAATACCCTGCAGTGAATCCTTATGATCTTTAAATGCACTTTAATGATCTTTAGTTGGATTTTATAGGACTACTTTACCCAAATCTCAACTATAGCTGGCACTCCTATTGTTCAATCAAAGACATAAAAAAATTTAACCACAGGAAAACCTGTATGTAAACCTAAGGGGACTTATACACAGCAGTAAACCAATCTCCAAAAGGCTATCCAAAATTATTTTTACAGAGTGCTTATTGTTTCCAACTATTTGTATTTTACCACCCAAAGCATTTAGTGCTATCTTTGGCTCCTTGAAAACTGACAGTAACAACTACTTGTTACACTAGGATATCAATAACCTGAATCTCACCAGTAATATAGTAATATTAACTGTTATTTCAAGATAAAGTGGATTAAGGTTAGTTTGAATTTTGTGAAACTGTCCTAATAATACAGGTAGTAGTGTATGTATGTATATGTAACAATGATAATCAAGGAAGAGGTCATGAAGTTGAGAGGGAATGGAAAGATAAGAGGAGTTGGAGGAGGGAGGGAAGGATGGAGGTGATATAAATGCTTATTGTCAAAAAATAGAAAAATTTAGCCAGGCGTGTAGCACGCCTGTAGTCCCAGCACTTGGGAGGCAGAGGCAGGCGGATCTCTGTGAGTTCAAGGCCAGCCTGGTCTACATAGTGAGTTCCAGGACAG